GGGGGGGCAGCCCCCCGCCGCTTTGGCTGACCTGTTTACTACATGGGCAAATCAGAAAACCAAGTGAACATGATCTCTTCTTCCTTCAGTCTCACTTGAGTCCAGTGTCGTTTTCCCAAGTTATCTTGTGAACTTCTCTGGGCCACGTTGACGTTACTGTGACAGGGCAAGCGACTTCTGAGACTTGTTTCCACGTGCATCTGCTGAGGCCAAGCAGACGGAGCCTTAAGAGCATTAGCGTCAGTCGGTTGGGTCATACAGTTGATTCCTAACCATTGCACCGCAGGGAGTGATCCAATAGCACTTAATTGGTCCAGAAATGTGACTGTATCTTTTTTAATCTATCTCGCAATGTAGTGACAGGCAGAATAAAAAAAATGTTCTACTGCGAGAAGGCAGATGCCACATCATTCTGTTGCCATTCATCCAGTGGTACAATTGCAATGGCCTGCATTTCACACTGACCATGATGTCCCTTTTTGGAGGAAGTTGAGACAAGAGCAGCATTATTTCTGTTTGGTGTAAAGTAACTGATTTGGCTAAAAAAAAAAAATCAGAACAGCCTGGATGGTGATGGTGATGGTGAGGAGGAAAGGTCTAAATGGTGTCGATACGCGACGCAATCCATCCGTCAAATGTCCCTTCCTGTTAGCAACTCCAGCCAGACCTGTTGCCATCACAACCATCCATCCCCGTCATCTCATTCCTTCCCACTGATCAGGATCTGAGCCAGCGCAATCTCCAAAATAGTATTTTACTTAAGGTCCTCCATTCTGCCCATAATATTGATTATTGATTCATCATTGTTAAAATTCCCCTTGAGGGATTTTAATGAGGGTTATAAACGTCAACATGACATTTGAAGAGCAAACTATATCCCTCTCCCTGAGCCTTTACCTTATCATGGAGGGTTGTGCCAATCTTTCTAAAGTTGTCAAAGGAGCTAAGCTGTCTAGGACTTGATGCCCTGACATAGGGTCACCCATGGCAAACAGGTCCTTGGTGAGGGACCAGACAAAGCACAGTCCAAAAAGAATCGTATGACGATGACAAAAATTGAATTACATTTTCACTTGCCCGAACGCAGGTCACCGCCCCCCCACTCTGGAGCCAGGCCTTGAGGGGCTTGAAGGTGAGCACCCGCTGGCCAGGAATGCACCCCTGGGGCCTGGCCGGGCACAGCCCGAAAGGATAACATGTGCCCCCATTCACATGGGCCTCGGACTCGGAGTAGCCACCCCTTTTTGGAGTCCTTGGAGGGGAAGAGCTTGAGAATGCTCCTGCTATGGATTCCATCGTCTTACTGGGGGTGGGGGGGGGGGG